AGCATATAAATAAAATTATAATTGATTTAAATTAAGGTAGTGTGTTGTATGATTTAAGAGTGTATGAATTGTATTTTGAATTTATGTGAGACAAATATTTGTTGACTTTGTTGTTGTCTTAGTGACGGGTAATTATATTTTTATTTTACATCATGAATGACATGTCATATGCATTGTGTGAGTGCCTTAGTGGCGGATAAAGATCTTGTGTGATTGTCTTAGTGGCGAGTAAAGATCAATGTGTGATTGTCTTTGTGGCATTTAAGAGTATGCATAGTTGCATATACGCTTCGTGATTGTGTTGTTGTGGTTAGTCTTGAGTTGATTTCTTTATGTGTATGACGTTATGGTTACAGTTCGATATTAATAATTTTGATGAACTTTCCTTTTAATTAAATTCTCTTGGACATGATATGTGTATCTATATTTTTTAATTGTTAACTCTTGTTTAATTTATTCTTAACATGGATTGTGGTTAATGAAAACTGACCCCTTACAACAACATTTTAGGTACAAATGTGGAGTTCCAAAGTGATTGATACTTGCTTGGTGCGTGATTGCGGGGAAGAATAGGTTTTCAGAAAATAAATATCACATTAGTTTTAGTTATTCCTTTACTTTAATTTGAATGAATTGGAATACAGTGATTTACTGCTTATGAATTTCAATTGCCCCAAACTTGGTTAATTTCAAAACCTTCCATTTTGATTTAATCTAGTATTTTCAATAATCTTTAGGTCATGTCTTGGATGAGAATTCGGGGCGTTACACTTCTTCAGAGAGTAGATCAATTAGGACCACTAACTCTATTAAGGATTAACTAAAGTAACCTATTGGGGAAATACGAGAGACTCTCTAGGGAGTAAACACACAAGAGACTTGTTGGAGATATACTGAGGATCATTCAGTAAAGCTTATCTATTAGGGAACTCTTGTCCATTAGATTCACTGGGGAGATTGCTGACTTGAGTTATCCTTGTGAAAGAGGTGTCAATCTTAGACAAAACTTCGAAGAGACTTGTTAAGGATAAAGTTGTTAAGGATACATTTCTGTGGAATCTTACTGATATGAAACTCGTCTAGAGAACTAATGAAGTTTTGCTGGAGAAAAAATCCAGAGGAAACTCTGTGGGGAGATATCTACTGGGGAAACCAAACAGAAATTTCGATGACCCAAGAGTTCAATTGGAGAATATCAATCACTTGTTGGGGAAGAAAAATGTATCTTGAGAATCATCACCAATATTGATGGTCTTCTGAAAGCCACTTGTACTAAACAAGAAAGAACTATTCTACTCTTGAGAACACCTCTTGCATCATGGTTCTGCTGAGGATTGCACTGAAGTTCCTTGAGAGGTTACTGAATTCGGGCTTAGGCTTATGCATGATCTATTTTGTACATAATATACAAGAAGAAAGTGAATGCATGGATATATTAGTTTATGCATTTTGTAGGTATCAAGCTCTGATTCCACGATATCCTTAATATGAATATTTTTGACACCATGAAGATGGTTTGCAAAACCCTGATTTTTGCTCTACTTCCTAGTAGGCTTCATACTAAAAATTATTGTCTCTAGAAGAGTATAAACCTCTGACTTGCTCAGATCAAAGTGATCGTTGAGATGCTTCAAACTTTATGAACTTATCATTCCCCAGTCTATTAGGACTTTGAAAAAGACTTCCCTTAGAAAAAAGAATTGACAACTGTTTTTCAAAATGTGATTTTAAGAAGGTCTGCTCCAGTATTCGGAATCCTGTTGCAGTATGCCCCTAATTGACCGAATTAGAGCAGTAGGCTTCACTGTACTATGGAATGGCTTGCCCCAGTATGAGCCTTAGATAGACTTGATGCTTCTCGAAGTGATTGCCTCATATTCACTGAATCTTAAAACAAATTGCACTAGGTTGAATGCTGTTTGGAAGGATTTCCTTGATGCTAAGTGCTTATTTGCAAATAAAATTGTTCCTTTAAAACGGTAATTCTAATGTAGTATCATGCAAGTTTCAAAATCAAGTTTTAGATGATAGTGAATGGATCATATATTTATTCAAAGTGCGAAGGACAATGTGATATGATACCAATACAAATAATTAGCATATATGTAAGAGTCATGTTAACGCAACCTTGCCGAGTATGCTTTCAAAATGAATCTTGCTTCAATTAGGCCTTTTGAAGGTTTTAACATGGTCTGGTTCATGCTTTCTGAAACAAAAGGATATAGGCACAAAGTCTTTATTTTTACCCACCCATTCATCTTGATAATCTCTAATCCTACATTCAGTTGATTCAACACAGTATTCAAATTCCCAGAGAAATTTAAAAGTGTGAACATGATGGCTTGAGAACTAATGATGATCATTCATTTGAGGTAGCAATCACCTATCTTTATTGGTAATCACAAAAGTTGATTATGTCAGGATTTTGGTGATCCTTTGGTTCTTAAAATGATGGTCACCTATTTCATTTTTATTTCTCTTTTTTTTCACTAACTTTTACCTGGGCTATTACTTTCGAACTCTCAGTCCACTGGGATGTCCTAATTTTTGTCTAAGTCGCCTTCTTTATGTTCAACTTGGCGGACTTTTTCTTTCCTTTTATACTTTTTTTAAGATTATAACTTCCATGTCATTGGTTATTGAGGAACAACCACCATAGTTTTGGATTGTTCATGACCACTTCAACACGTATTGATGTGTGTGAATAAAGCATGTAGTTACACCTCTTAGGTGTTCGAAATGATTCTCTTCATATTTGAATGCATATCTGAATTAACTGAAAACTACCTTGCCCCTGGTTTAGATTAAGGGTTTTTCCGTTCAGAAAGAAACAAAAACTTCTAGGCTCAAAGGGGTTGATGAGGGACTATCTTCCTTATATCTCTGGTGTTTGGGAGTTAAAACAATGCCTTACATTATCAACAAAGTTTTATTCGAAAGTATACATGTCAGCAATTTTTCGGTATTTTATTTTCATCATCCTCCCTCCGATGTATGCTAAAACAACAATTTTGATAAAGATAAATAAATGGGAGAAACAATGTTTTATATATATATATATATATATATATATATATATATATATATATATATATATATATATATATATATATATATATATATATATATATATATATATATATATATATATATATATATATATATATATATATATATATATATATATATATATATATATATATATATATATATATATATATATATATATATATATATATATATATATATATATATGGAAAACGAGTTAACATGAAACATGGAAACAATGTTATATATCCTCCCTCAAATATTCTTTTCTTTTTGCGATAAAAATGGAAAACGAGTTAACATGAAAGGATGGATTCAAAAGAGTGCATGCTCATTTCATTACTACTACCATTAAAATTAACAATGTTTAAAAGCAAATAAATACTTAGCAAAAAAAACAAAAAACTATAAAATGCAAATGATAAAGAAAACCTGATGATTATCAGCTATGTGGATAAGCTTTCTATCTGATTCACCAGCTTCGGGGCGTGCTTCTTGCAACCTTGGTACTCACTTGGTCAAGGATATCCCGTTCACCAACATGTTTCCTCCTTGAGAAGTTAAAAACTTTTTTTCAATCAACTGTCGTACTTTATCTTTGAAAGCGTTGCAGTCCTCTGTTGAGTGCCCAGCCGATCTGACATGATATTTGCACGTGACGTTAAGGTCATACTCAGACAGGAATGGTTGTGGTGGTGGCTTAAGAAATTTGGGAACCACCAGTGAGCTTTGAACCAGATGTGGCAGAAGTTGACTGTAGGTCATGGGAGTTGGATCAAGAAGAGCATTCCTTCTTTCCAAGTTGGAGTGAGGCATATATTGGTTCTGATGCTAATTTTGATATCCTCGATCTTGGGCTTGTTGATTTTCATGAGGAGCTCATGGTTGATATGTTTGAGGAGGCCTTGGAAGAAAGGTCTAGGATGGCCTCTATGATAAGATTCTTGAACTGGAAAATTTGCTTCCTATGGTAGCCTTTGATGAGCGGTGACACCAGACAAACTTAGAGAAGCAACCATTTATGCTGCAACAAATGGTGTAGGGGTTACCCTCTTTCTTAAAAAAGCTTACAGGATATCCATGACTGATGCGTCCGCAAGTTCACGGAAATATCAAAGTAATGTAAAAGATTGTCGAACCCACAGAGACCAA